TATCACAACATCAAATAACAATTAAATGGTAAATGGTCAATAACAATTAGGTGACCGTTAAAAAGGCTTTCGGCGTTGTGTTTGCAGTTGAAATGATGAAGCAAACATATACAGCTAAAGTCTATGTTTGTTGTGAATTAGTTACATAAACTGCCATCTATATTTAAAACAGGATACACCACTGGTGTTACATTACCTGATAAGCGCGAATCGAACAGGTCCAATCATATACAGATAAGATTGCACGCGTATAACGAAAGACGATTTCCCATCACAGTTATTAGTTGGCTCTATAAAATTGAACGTCCTACCAACAGGTAAGATTATTTAAGGACGTGCCTCCATGCGTGTGGTGTATGTTGCAATGTGTGAAGCCGATTTATTTTCGTCGTTTTTTTTGTCCCAAAGTAGAAAGCAAAAACATAATGACTAACTCTACAAGTGATACATGTACCAACATTAGTCGCCCTTTACGATACATGCAGAGGGTAACATCAGCCGTTTTAGTTTTTTCAATCCCCGAACTGAAGGGGATGCCCGTCATAATTGAATTGAACAATGAGTCAAATACACCTGTATACCGTATACTTCAAACACCTGGAGGTATGTCTCCAAATTAACAAATGCAATTAGAGTAAAATCAATGAAAGCACAGCTCTTGTTTGAATCACAATTGAAATGTGTTACTCAATTGAACAACTGTTGACTACATGCTTAACCTATAGTTTATATCTAATTATTTGATTACATATGTCGCCTCTTACGATAATGCAGTGGGTAGCAGAAGGTGCATTTTTTTTCGATCCCCGACCTGCAGGGGTGGCTGTCCATCTGTGTGTGTAGGTGTATGTGTTACATGCGTTTGTCCATTTGTGTAAAGGTGTATGTCTGTTTTATGTATCTGTCCATTTGTGTATAGGTTTGGTTTGTTATATTTGTTTGTCTATTTGTGTGAAGGTTTATGTGTGTTACATATCTGTCCATTTGTGTGTGTAGGTTTATGTATGCTACATGTGTGTGACAATTTGTGTGTGGATTGGTTTTGGTTTTCTAGAGGCGGAGGACACACGGATCCATATCGTAAGGTTTATTCGATTGGGCGATTCATTAACTATATATATTTTCACTACTTTTAGCGCCAAATTTAACCATAAACACATTGATCACGTTATGAAACTAGATCACGTCCAGAAACTGCCATATACTCAGTCTCAACGATAATACATGACAATTATCACCTTCCTTATAACCATTGTAGTGTATAAGGTTGATTTGTACATTTCAGTTATATCAATTGGTTATCCACTGTTAAAATAATCTTTACCATTATTTAATCAATTATTATACTGTAGAAATGTACAGACGATAATGATAATACATAATTATATTTATTGTTTATTGCACTGCTACTGTGTGATTGGTGCATATAAGTCGTTTTGCCGTTAGAAACCGTCGTACGCCGGCAAACGACCGGTGATATTTCAATTCGAGCAATAAATTCAACATGTAACCAGTACATGCTGTTTAAGATAAGGGGGGACACTGGAAATATTAACATCAAATGTTATATCTTTCCGCATATAACCCGTTATCGCCCGTTCCTGTGAAACCGGTCAATCCGACGGACGCTTGGTACACCGCCGGCGTAACATATATTCGAATCCAACGATGCGTCTGCCTAGCTGGTCGGCCTGTGATTGCCTGGTGAGAGCGAATCGAGCATTAAACACCTCAGATCGTGTTATACACCTTTATCAACTTTACAGATAAGATTGCCTCCATGTGTGTTGTGTATGCGTGTATGATCCCAAATATTGCTATCGGTGCAGAAGATTTATGTTGGTCGCGTTTGTGTTCCCAAGTAGTGGGCACAATTATAGGTCCCTAATCTGCAAGGGGTTTCGACATATGTAGCCTTTTCACGATGCAAGCAGTGAGTAACAGCAGACGTAGTATTTTCTCTGTCCCCGACCTGCAGGGGTGCCCGTCATAAAAGACTTGCGCAAGAAAGCAAATATACCAACATACTGTATAACTCACTCACATAAATGTATGTCTTCAAATTGCCGTAGCTGTCAAAAGGACACTTAAACAAATGCATTAAAAGTAAAATCAATTATGCACAGCCCTCGTTTGAATTATAATTGAAATGTGTTACTCATTTGACCAATTATTGACTACGTGCTTCCTGTCACGTATTACTTTCGCTTTCGGTTTGTTTGTCAATTCGTGGAAGAATAAATACATAAACCAAGCTTGCAAACTTGTGTTGTTAGCATCGATAAAAACAAGACGTTGTTAAGGTAGTGTTGAACCACATATTTTTCGTGTCAAGTCGTAAAAATATAAATAGAAGTCGGAATGATTCATTTTACTATAGATGTTTACCATAGTACAATCAACAATAATGTTACTTTTGTTCATAGACCTCTTCCGCGTTGATAACATAATGCGATTTTTCTTGTTAGGAACAATGGTCGCGTAACATCTCGCATTTTGGAAGGTATCCATTTATACAGTGTATCCAACAGTGTTTAATGAAGTTTGCCACAAGGACACATTTTGTAAAGGATTGAAAAGGTAGGATTTTAACCAGACAGTGTTGCAAAAGTAAACTAACAGCGACTAACGTGTAACCTCATCATTTAATTTATAAATAACTGGAGCCGGGTTGTATCTGTTATATGTGTGTGAACACTTGTGAGTGTATTTATGTCTGGTATATGTGTCAGTCCATTTGTGTGTATATTTATGTCTGTTATATGTGTCAGTGCATTTGTGCGTGTGCTTATGTCTGTTATATGTGTGTGATCATGTATGCGAAGGTTTATTGTGTGCAGGTTTATGTATGTTATATGTGTGTGGCCATTTATGTGTAGGTTAATGTCTGTTAATTGTGTGTGGCCATTTCTGTGTAGGTTTATATCTGTTATACGTGTCACTCATCTTGTGTGTAGGTTTATGTCTGTTATATGTGTGCGGCTTTTTGTATATAAATGTTCGTCTGTTATATGTGTCTGTCCACTTGTGTGTAAGTTTATGCATATTGTATATGTATGTGTGCCACAATGAGTCGGTCCATTTGTGTGTAGGTTCATATCTGTTATATATATATGTCAATTTGTTTGTAGGTTTATATATGATATGTGTGTGTCCTTTTGTGTGTAGGTTTATTTATGTTATATGTGTGTGTCTATTTTTGTGTAGGTTTATATCTGTTATGTGAGTCTGTTAATTGGTGTGTAGGTTTATGTCTGTCAAAGTGTCTGTCCATTTGTGTGTGGGTTTATGTAACTCTGCTTTATGCCTGTCTATTTGATCGTATTACATGTGTCTGTCCATTTTTGTGCTAGTTTATGTCTGTTATATTTGCCAAAAGTGAGGTATATCCAAGCAAGGAACTAGGAAACACAGGGTGGTTAGAAATAGACAGAAATATAAAGATCCAAAACATTGCAAAAAGGTACAGCATGTTTATTTAACCTATACAAGGTTGATTCCAATCTCGGTGAAGAATGGTTTGTACAAACGTAGGAGGTACTTATGTTTTCCCATATCAATGACCAATATACACGGGCTACATTTGTAAGAGTGATGCATTTTGAAATTGATAAAAGTTATTTGTCTATATATGTACATTAAAATACAAATTATAAATATATATATATGTGGACAAACATTTGCAAAACGTGTTAATGTAGATATACATTTGTACCAAGTTTAAAGCCAATCGCTTTGGCCATTCTTGAGAAATCGAAAATGTCTCGGTCAATCCGTGGCCATGATGATGGCCATCTTAGTTTATTTTCTCAGTTCGAGATAAGAACTTTTCGTCGAAGCAACATAAGGAACTGTCAATACGCTGAATGGTTCTGAAGAAGTCGAAAACATTAATAATAAACGAATGACGACATATGACAATAGATGGCAATAGCTCACATGAACGTTCATGTAGGATATCAAGATAGGGGTAACGGTAGTGATATTGAGTTAGTAGCAATGTTTAAGGTTAACTAAATAAGGATATTTAAATTTTAAATTAGGGAGACAGACTCGCCTCTCTGACGTATTGCATACTGTTAATATTTGCAAAATACTAGTTTAGTTTAAAATTGTTTATGCAATATTCCCGGTAAATACTAATGTTTGAATTAAAAAAAAGAATGTCCTTGATTGGCAATGAAACAACAACAAAATATAGATCCTATAGTATTCTCCTATAGCCATTCAATCCCTCAATAGACATCCGTTTGAAGGTGTATTCCAGAATTTCTGTACGTATCTGTATGTCAATTTGTGTGGTTTTGTTACTGTTTAAGCATGTGTTTGTGATAAACGACGAGAAAAGGGACGCTGCATCTGTATGTTAACTAGTTTGTGATTAAAAGTTTTCCTGCGTATGTTTTCACCCCTAGAGTTAGTTTTTAAACAGACCCGCATGACTACTTGCTTATTTTGGATAGATCTAAATAAACAGCTAGGAGAGAAATTCTTCGAAGTATTTCCTACACTGATATAAATATTATTTCATATGCAGACATTAAACAGTAAATTATAATGTGAGCTCTATCACAGTAAGACAAATACTATGTATACCTTGTGCCTGGTACACATACCAAACGGCACGCATACATTATACTAATGGAGGCAGGTGCTTACATGATCCTGGTTTTAAATAAGTTATAAGTACAGGTTGTACAGAAAAGATCCCATTCGTATAAGAAACTACGATTTCCTGTCATAAAAGACATATTAGACCAACGCAAGAAGGTAAATACACCAATTTACCGTATATTTTATACCCATGTATGCATGTCATTAAATGCTCGTAGCTATCAACAGGAACCTTAACGCTATGGAATCAAATTAAAATCAAGAGAGTCATTATTGAAATGTGATACTCGATTACGTTATTGTTGACCTCATGCTTAACACATACTTTATATCTACTTATTCTCTGCTACTTTTTACTTTTGCTTTCGGTTTGTTTCTCATTACGTACAACTATATATATAGATATATTACGCTTAAAGAGACATATCGTCAAAACATGATCAAAACAAAACGACCCGTTTGCGTTGTTAAGGCAAAATAAACACGTACATTTCTTGTAGTCGTCAAATTCTCATTCAGAGTCGACATGATTTATCAAAACACGACATGGAAATACCATTGTATAATAAACAATGATGTTACTTCCGTTTTGTTCATTATGATAATGGTGCATTTACAGTGAATAGTATTGGTTTTATTAACCAAAAGGATCTTTTTTAAGGAACACAGGGGCACGTTACGACTCCTATGTTTTGAGACGTTTGGCAATTTGTATAACAATGGCCGTTCTATGTCTGGAAAGAGGATATAAATCGTGTGTGGTTGATATAAAATACTCAACTACAGTTAAGGTAAGATGTGATCCAGACAAGGAGATCATTTTACTATTTATTTAAACAATGTAAAATGATTGACAATCAGTATTATGAAAGTAAACTATTACAGCAGCTTACCTACAGCCATATTTTGTAATTTGTAAATGATGTAAAGAGATTGGGAAAATGATTTCAGGAACGATTTTTTATTTCGAAAACATGAACGAAAATAATTATTGGGTGAACTATCGGTATTTTCCACGTATTGAATAGGTATGAACGTATTAAAAAGTATACAAATGACTTTGTCTTGTTTGGTAATGATTTTGCCCTACATATCCTCTGAAATTGAGATATCTTCTTTTCGTAACAACAATTTAAAAAAAGAAATCTTTTCATGAAAATTTAGGATATTTTTTGGGGAAATTAGAGAAACAGTGATTACATGTATGAACCTTTTAAATATTGTGGGTTTATGGGACAAAACGTGCCAACCATCCATGGTATTTTGCATTCTATTCTGTTTTGTTTATTTACGAGCTGGAAAACTCCTGCATGATGAAATAGGTGACATGACTAATTAAACCGAATTCAATTTCAGTATGGAACTTAAGGACAGTTTCCTGTTGGTTGCCGCCATTGATTTTGGAACTACATACAGTGGTTACGCCTATTCTACTCGACATGATTTCGAAACTGATCCCCTGAATATAAATTTAATGACATGGAGTGCGGGATCTGGGGGACTCGCGTCTCAAAAAACATCCACCTGTGTTCTATTTAAGCCAGATCAGACATTTCATTCCTTTGGGTATGCTGCTGAAGATTTTTATAATGAGCTGGTATTGGATGATGACCATAGAGGCTGGTATTTCTTTCGCCGCTTCAAGATGGATCTGTACAAAAATCAAGTAAGTTGTCTTTTTTGATAACTTCATCTGCAATGAATGTGTCCCTGTGCAATTCATTTTCCACATTCATGTAACAATACAATTATAGGACCAACATATATTTTTTATTCCGTGTTCCGATGTCCGTCCCTCCGTACGTTGAGCGTCAAGTTAAAATAATAACAATTTCTTTTACTTAACAAAGATGCCTAAGGTGATGATATTTGGCAGTTGATTTGCTAGGATTAAGGGCAACCAAGTTTGTTCAAATGAATAACCTTCGCATATCCAAGTTCACAGTAGTCACATATGTTAAACACCTATAAATGACCTCTTTAGAATAACCAAAAACGTCTGCATGTTTAAGTTTTGCAGGTGATTTTCTGGAAGGAAGGGCTATTAAGTTTGTTCAAATAAAGTATTAACATGTATTTAAAGTCATTGGGTTTAAAATATTCGGACAACTTCTGCTGATTACTTTTTGCCAGTAACATGCTTTTTGAGTTTGTTTAAACGGTTTACCTTGACCTATATTCACGTTAACAGGGGTCAATTTTTTTTTAAAAACTTTCAACGACTTCTTTTGTTTAATCAAAAGGGTCAGGATGTTGATGTTTGGTCATAAAATGCTGGAATAACATGCGATCAAGTTTGTTCACATTAATGACATTGACCCATGTTCATGGTCAAGGGGTCAAACAATCTCTTCTGAATAACAAAGACACCGAGGGTGATGATATTTGGTTAGTAGCATGCTGGTATGAAGGGCTTCCTAATTTGTTAAAATAAACGCCCATATTCAAGGTCACATATACTTAATATGTTGAAATATTTACACAGCGTCTTCTCTATAACCGAAAGGGCCAGGCTTATGATATTTGGTCGGTACTATGCTTGGATAAAGGGCTAATAAGTTTGTTCAAATGAATGACGTTGACATATATTCAATGTCACAGGGGTCAAATATGTTTAAAACCTATGAACGACTTCTTCTGAATAACCAAAATGCATAGGTTTGATTTGGTTTAGTTTTGTTTAACGTCCTTTTCTCAGCTTATGTCATTTCAGGACGTGCCTCCATGTGCGTAGTGTATGCATGACTTCGTGTGTGTATGCAGGAGACAAAGTACATTTATGTTTGTGTGTTTTCCTCCTTCTGATGGCACGAATCTAGTGCCGACTTTATAGTGCTATCTCACTGAAATGCTGTGCCGAAGGCACCCAGCACAGCATTCCGACCGGTCACATTGATAGTTGCCTGGTGCTTGCTGAAGTAAAGCGCTACAAGTACCAAGTCTGTTCAAATAAATGACCTTGGCCTGTAGCTACGATCACAGTGGTTAATTGTCTTAAACAGTTCCTAAACATTTTTTCTGAACAACAAAAACGTTTAGGCTGATGATATGTGGCATGTTACGTGGTGGAATGAAGGGCTATCAAGTTTGCTGCAATAAACGACGTTGACATATATCCAATTTCAAAGGGTTCCATTGGATTTGAAAACCTTCTGAATAACACAATTTGCAAAGGTGATGATATTTGGCAAGGAAAAGCAGGGATGAAAGGCTACCAAGTAAGTTCAAATTAATTACCTTCATCAAATCTCAACGTCACACGGGTCAATTGTCTTAAAAGAAAATCCTCCCAATAATGAAAAGACCCAAGGTAATGAAATAACGCAAGTAGCATGCTACAATAAAGGGCACAGGGGTCAAATATGTTCAAAACTTTGAATAAAATGCCATGGCTAATGATATTCGGCCAGTATTATGCTTAGATAAGAAACTTTAAGTATGATATCAATGAACAACCTCCTCCATGTTCCAGGTCACACTGGGTCAAATGTTCTTAAAAACGTTTAAACAACGAGATTTGGATGATCAAACATAAGGTGGTTATATTTAATATGAGCTATCATTGTTCTTGTGGATGAATTGAGCCACTCCATGGTCACATATCGCTGATTGCTTATTCCAATAAAGTTCCAATATAAATAAATGGACGTTAAGCTACAAGCTTAATAGCATTACCTATGAGTCCTGTCATTCAGAACCGCCTGTTGAATAAAAACAAAACATAACTTCACACATTTAACCACTGTAACTAAGTGGATCAAGGTCACTAATTTGATAAAAACCTTCATCCAGGAATTTTACTGGCAAGAATCCTTTTCTGGTCCTTTTGAATTCACGCATTTGACGGGAGTGACTTCGAAAGCGGCCCCATGTCATTTATTTGTAAAATGTTGGTAGCCCTTATTCTAAGGATATACACGCCTGCAGGTCGGGGATCGAGAAAAAGAATACACCTGATGTTAGCCATTGCATTTTTCGTTAGAGACGACTAATGTGGGAACCCCCTGCAGATCCCCCCCCCCCATATCTACTTGGGAACTCAATAGCGAACAAACTAAATATGCTGCACCTATTGTATCATTTGGGATATTAACCTTTCTTTCTACCTCAATCATTTTTTTTCCTAGCGTCTTGCTTGGTAATACCTCCCTTCTAGCTTTAATGTTGAGCGTTGGCCCAGGTGAGGAAGACAATGGGTTCTGTCCGCAGGCCCGAACATACCAAAGTTCTTTAGATGGTAATTGTCATTCCCTGCTTAACATTCAGCAAAGAAGGTTATGACAACAAATGGTTCACCCGTTGTCAGTATAATGTGACCTAGCGGAATGCTGTACTGGATGCCTTCGGCATAGTGTTTCAGTTAGATAACACTATAAAGTCAGCATCAGATCCGCGGTTTTACAAGGAGGCAAGCAAACCAACGAACCCTGTCTCCAACACACATGCATGCTTACACAACGCGCATGGAGGCACGTCCTTAAATGACCTTAGCTGCTAATAGGACGTTAAAAATAAAACCAAACCTATACGACGATATATTTGGTCGAATATCATTACGCTGGCTTTTTTAGTTTTATTTGTTTATGATTTTTCACATTCAACCTCTGTGACCTTCAAAGTGGATCAAAGTCATGTATACAATCAAGTGTGTAGTCTTTCATAATAGCATAGGTTGTGAGAAAAAAGTCAATAAAACATTTAAACATAGTTGACTTGATTTTTAGATAAAAATATGTTGATAAACAAATTTGCTTTCTAGTCAAAGGTCAATTATTCTTTGAACAAAAATAGTTTACAAGTCAATGCAGAACTACATCACAATGAATATGATGTCTCATTTCTTTTAATGTGATTTTTACTGTTAACGCCACACGTCGTTTTTAATATTTCCTTTGATCTTTTCGAAAAGTCAACAATATGTAAAACAGTTTTTTCCTAATTTAATCCAGAAATATTTTCCTGACAGCTCTATCAAGAAATGCTAACTATCATTATTATCAAATAATTAAAGATGACCGCCACGAGCTCTAATTAGTTTATTATAAAATAGTTGTATGTCGTTAACATCTTCTGTCGTAACGTTTATCATTGGATATGAAGTTGAAATGGGCAAGAGGAAACATTTTTATCCAAAAAAGTCAACTTCCGGTTTTGTCAAGGGGTCAAAGGTGAAGATGTGATAACTTCAATCATCTGAACTTGTAAATATCAAAAAGTAAAAAGATGTCTGTTATAAACTTTGATCTGTTAATTATGAAACATATTTATTTCTTGAATGCATCTTCTTCCAAGTTCAAATATCATCTTTGGATATGATAAACAATATAGATATGCAAAAGGAAAATTGTTGCGCTCGCAATAAAGAAAAATGTCAACTTCCGGTTTCGCAAGGTTAAAGTTGAACATGTGATAGTTTCAAAATTTATCTCAAACAATCTTCATTTCTTCCAGTCTATTTTAAATAAATCTCAGTACGAATATTCCCCTGGTATCCCTTTCATAGATATGTTAATTATGAAAGCAATAACAAAAATCCAAAATCGACGCCACGAGCTCTGAGTGGGTACCCAATAAACAGCTAAATTCCGTTTATGACTGTAGCTGAAAGTTCATCTTTGGATATGATAAAGAGATGTGCAGGATAAAACCTTTTTTTTTGGCATAATGATATTACAATAAAATTCAACTTCCGGTTTTCGTGCGGAACGAAGTTCAAACGTGTTATTTTTGGATACAAAATTAAAAAAAAAAGTTTTTCGGCGTCTTTGTTATTGATGTTTGATCTGTTACATACTGCATGTAATTTATATTATTGGTAAAGTTTGAATGGATGATTGCCTTTGCTTAGCTCTCTATGTAACAAGGGTGAAACTTATAAAAATATTTAAACAACCACTCCTTAATAAACAAGAGGCCTAAGTCTGTTATAAAAGGCACATAAATTGTTTTGAATGAAAAACCTGACTTACCTTGCATGCGACTTGTTTGTAAATAGTGACTGTTAAAACCATCTTGAATATTTGACGTTTTTCCGTTCTGTCACTTCTTCCTAAAACAATAGATAAATAAATGAGGTCGGCATACGTTCCGCTCTATTGCAGAAAAACATCAGTATACTGCCTCCAGAAGATATGTACTGTACACATATTAAGGCTCGTCCTTAGAAAGCCTAAGCTGTTAAAAGGTGTTGAACTGAATAGAAATAAAACTAAATGAAACTCATTACAGCAAACGATGCGTACAATTTTTGTACAAAGAATACTTACGATATATATATTTCAGATTAACAGAGCTCAGATGTTGAAAACATCAGATGGAAAGGTAATGTTAGCAATCACGGTTATATCAGCTGTGATAGCCTACCTGAAGGGTCACTTGATGCAAAAGATAAAAGATCGTGGAGCCGATGTTCCAGAGTCAGAAATCAGATGGGTAGTCACTGTACCCGCTATATGGACTGACCCGGCCAAACAGATGATGCGAGAGGCAGCCGAAAAGGTAAACATTGTATCTTATAGGGAAACCTGAATATTAAGCGAAGTAATATTGAAATAACACTAATATTGTTTGAACAATATACTGCTTTTGTAAACACCACATCATTTTCTAAATGGTTAATGTATGCTCCAGTTTGACCGGGTTTAACGTATGGTTTTGCTGAAATTTTGATATTATTTTCCTGTATTTATTCAGGCTGGAATTGCGAAAAATCAGTTAATCCTAGCGCTAGAACCCGAGACTGCATCGATGCTTTGTAAACACCTTCCTGCAGTTCATCTTCTCTCAGGAGACCGCACGGACAAAATTGAAACATTTCGATCTGGATCAAAATACATGGTTTTCGATGCTGGGGGTAAGATATAGTTTAGATTGCAAAATTTTGTCGGATGACATACTACTTAACTCCTACTTAACCGAGTAAGGTGTAAAAAGTGACGAAATTAGGTTTCAAGATTTCGCCATATACCTGCGTTAAATGGATTGTATAATATACCATGAATTCTCTTCCGATTTTTTTTATCTGTTTAAATCATTACAGTTTAAATTTTACTTGATTTATCCTTAGGTGGTACCATCGATATCACTGTACATGAAGTGCTGAAGGGAGGATTTCTGAAAGAAATTCACGCAGCTAATGGCGGTGACTGGGGAGGGAAAAAGGTGGACGAAGCTTTAGAGGAATTACTTGAAAGTATTATCGGGAAGGCTGCGGTTGAACACTTCAGGGCTAATGAGATACCGAGTGTCATAGACCTGCACAGGAATTTTGAGGTAAAAAAGAAGACCTTCACAGGCGATGATATTGGAACGAAAACATCGTTAACCGTCTCCTGTTCGCTTCTAGAATCATTCAAAGAGTACAATCCAGGAAAATCTATAACTGACGCTATTGAAGAGAATCACTGTTCAACAGACGTGGAATGGAAGCGGGACAAATTGCGACTTTCCCAAAAGAAAACACTATCTTTGTTTGAACAATCGTTCAAGCACATCACCGATCACATGTCCGATATCCTCAGCAAACCGGAAGTTAAGGATTGTGAGGCTATCCTGATGGTGGGTGGATACTCCGAATGTCTACTTCTCCAGGACGCCATCAGAACCGTCGCCGGAGACATCCGTCTGATCGTCCCTAGTGACGCGAGCCTGGCCGTAATGAAGGGAGCCGTGATCAACGGACACTGTCCAGACACTGTGTCAGAGCGGGTATGTAAATACACATACGGAATTGGTTGCAGGATGGTTTTTAAAGAAGGAGTTCACAGAGAAGATTACCGTGTAATAAATGAAAGAGGGGTAGTAAGGTGTGAAAATTGTTTTTCATCATTTGTCGAAAAGGGCACACACATAAAGATTGGTACATCTTCGTTTTCTGATATGTTCACTGTGGGTACCTCAGGTCAAACAGGTTTGTGTCTAGAACTGTATGCCTCAACGTCTGTTAACCCATTGTATATCACAGAGGCAAGTTGCCAGAAGATAGGAGCAATCACGATGGATATGCCTGATACATCGTTGGGTCTTGACAGAGGAGCATGTGTAACCGTGTATTTCGGGGGATCAGAGGTCGAACTCAAAGCCGTTGACAAACATACTGGAAATGAGATACGAGCCTGTTTTGATTTTCTCGGATAGTATGTTACAGGTTAGAATTTATAAAATAGTAAATATTACTAGGTAATACAGGAATTTATTCTGTTGGTATTAATTAAAATTAGGATGAATGTAATTGTTTTAAATTCTATTATATAGTCAAACCACCTTCATGTATATACGCGTCGTTTTTTGTGTGTGTTACGTGTTACGTATTAGTCATTAAGTATGCATTTTATAACACATGACAGTAGACTGACCAATGACTAGTCTTAGGGTGTGACCTTTGGCATTTTTTACCTTGGTGCCTGGCAATTTCACCAGGGCACTTCTACCCGTGTATTTGACAAAGATACACGTGTTGCAAAATGCTTTTACATTACCTATACCTGTATATCGAGAACCTTTACACCATAGCTGTAGGGTAAATTATTTTTTGTTAAACAGAATATTATTTAAATACTCTAGCTTATTCATAAATAAGTAGTTACTGTTTCAAATATCTGTTAAACATATATATATATGTATTTAACTATGCATTTATTTCTCAAAGTCTGTATAACACATTTATATCAAAAGGAACTAGTTTGTATGTATTCTAGTCGGATAAAGTTATCTAGAAATGTCATTTGTATAGATACAGAAAGTAAAATAACATTAATTGTACTTTTTCTAAGTTATGTAGTTTGTACTATATCGTAAACTATCATAGAAGTGTTGTAGGAGTTATTTTCCTTTATTTATATAGGTCTACAGTATATATATGTATGTGTCGGCGAGTGAAAGTTTATTGTCTTTGTTTTTTTTAATTTACAGGGTTTTTCTTTATACCATTATGTGCTCGGAATAAAACGTCGAGAAAACCCACACAGCGCTCGTGTTATTTATTTGAAAGTACAAGAACTGTAACAATGTTTCTAAAAACAGCTGATCATCTATGATGAATAGGATCTCGGAGTGGATGTATTTTGTGAACTAGAAACTGGAAGAGCATATTGGATTTTACTATCTAAAATAGTTTTGTTTATAATTTTAAGATAGTCTTAATCATGCAATGAAGAATTGTTATGGTAATTGTTATGAATAATAAATGGTATATCATATATATAGGGTTTTCCTTCCAGGGGGCATTTGACCTTATGATGCATTACTGCACAGTTGGTCTGCTATCTCGCCTGCCTGCTGCTGCATGTCAGTGTGTGTGACCAACAGCCGTTGTCAGATTAATTTTGCAGATTTATACAGTATCTTAGCCATTTTATCTACTTTATTCCTCCTGCACTAACTTATTTGATAATTACATGCATTATTCCTGCAAACCGAAAGAGGCGACTAAGTGTGAACCCCCTGCTGTGACTGTTAAAGCCACTGCAAAATTGAGAGGCGACTAATGAGGGCATTCCGTAGGAAATTGAGATTTTTCACATTTACAGGGCCAGATTCCCACATGCACATGTTCTACGTTTTTGATATCTCGTCCCTTCTTTCTGTTGCTTATCTCTCGTTGACTCACTTTATGTGATAGTGCATCTTGCGCAGGAATAGGTCCTCTACATCAGCGTTCCTTGTCCGCGATGCTCTCAGCTTAATTGCTGCCTTCGGCTGTCTTTAGCCGAGGGGACTATTGGTTTTATATAATAGCTTTATTTTCAATTATAGTATATGTATATCAGTTCTATCTTCTTGTAATATGATGTATAGGTACATGAAACTGTTCTGTTTCACTGTGTCTTGATACGGGAGCGGATCGCTCCGAAAATTTGACCACGTAAACTTGTCCACACTGTTGGAATTACTTCTTTGCCCCATATATATTATTTGTAAGATATTTTCTCTAGCTGTTGTGTTATTGATAATTTTATAGCTTTTATCATAATCATTAATTAATGTGTTCAAGTTTGTAGCATTCCGCTGGTAATAGGGCAATAAATAAGATAAAACCAAACCATCTATTTTACATTATATCTGTTGATCTAAAACCCCAAAGCGTTTACCAGCTCTCCCCTCACAAAAGGCAATTCCAAACATATGTGTGACTATTTGATCATTGTGCTGTTGTGGGAGAAATAAAAGGACAGTTTTAAGCAACATTGAATAAATATTCATTATATACTGAAAAAGTAGAAATTTTCGCGTGAGGGAATTTTCGCGTTTTGGCTCTTCAAACCGATCGCAGTGTTTAACTTTCTTGCGTTGGCAATGATTCTGAAACCTATATAATTGTTAACTATATAATCAACAAGCAACTATTTGCATGTAGATATTTTCGCACTCATTTACTCAACGCAACGAACGCGAGATTGTCCACACCGCGAACATTTCCCCTTTTACAGTATGTAGTTTTATTAAGTGGTATATGTATACGTAGCGATTTTTCTTTAATTTAATGTTTATGTACACGACAAATACGTTATGTGTTTAGTGTTGCTGTTCATCAGACAATTTGATATCTGGTCATTTTAAAAGTGCAGATGCAATATGTCGGTGAAATCAAACGCCAGACTTTTCATCATGCCGATACCTACATGAATGGTCAAGCAGGCTGTTCTTTTTTACACTGACAAACCTGAGTTACAATGAACGTTTCTTTCTAGATCATCTACATGTTGTTAATTCAGAAATGATACATTAATACCCTATTCACATTGTCTACAGCTAAACCTAATTAAGTATCATTTATATTATTGTTACATTTATTTTTGTTCATGGACGGGATTGTTATCTTTATTTCATTGGTTGATGAGGTCAGCTTGTCCGTTCGTGATTCACCTTAATTAATTTGATATTGAACAGAATAGTATTATAATTGTGTATTTCAATATATGTAAAGATATGTAAATATTTCACCACTCAATAAAACATTTGGAATTTTACTAGATTGTGTCTATTTGATTCTATCAGAAGTATCAGCAAAACAAAATGATGGTTTTTAATATCATATGTATAATCAGCAAAATATAAACGAATAACTAAATTCTTCAATCAGTAACTTTTCATTGATTGGTATGACATTTTTTGTGGTAAGCTCAGTGAAAATAGTGCACTCGTATTTCCCCAAACTAACATTAGAGGGTTAGGATCACCTGCCCGACCACGTGGGTTTGTCTGGGTCCTCCTGTTTCTTCCCATATGACCTCCCGCTTACTTTCATCCGTACCAACAAGAGTTATCCACGAAAGTTGTTACCTGTTTTTTCTAATAATAGTTAGGCAGTATGTTTCAGTGAGGTAGCACTATAAAGTCGGCATCAGTTCCGCGCTATCACAAGGAGAGAAACACGAACATATCGCAGCCTCCCAAAATACACACACATACACTACACGCATGCATCTTGCACACAGGGGAGGCCGTCCTTAAATGACCTTAGCTGTTAATAGGACGTTAAAAAAAATCAAACAAACAAACAAATAGTTCTGGAGGTTGAGCTTTACTTGAAATTATTTTCGTCAAATTTCTAACTTTTCGTCTCTTTGCAGTGGTGCCAATTTAATAAAACAATTTTAAATCGTTAATGACAAATTGTGTAAGGTTACAGTAATATGAATCAATGCGTGGATAACAAATTACACTGTAAATCTATAATTGATGAATGGTTCCCAAGCTGTGGAATACCCGTCTCCGGATTGGTCCTTCATACATTACCTATTCTTATTTATTGAAAAGCGAAGACCAGCATCAATGCATAGCATGTTACGACCCGTTTACAGTACAACACTTGTTGTTAGATTACATTGACCTTCAGCCAACAAGAAAATGTTTGTATAATAGTATAATCGATCTCAAATCTCTTTTCGAAACAGTCAGTATACGTACGGTTCTTACCTACCTAAAAACTGTTTGTCTGTTCAAAAATATATAACTAACCATAGCCACTTCTTTTTAATTTGTCTTTTACCTTTTAGTTCATTCAACATGCTCAATTTACTTTTTATTGACCCTGACGACTTCTTTTATGTTGATGGGCCAATTCAATAACTGTCTTTATAAAATTCCAAATCCCAAACCGAAAAGTTAAACATGAATGGCTGAAATGAAGTTATTGGAAATCGAGGCATGATGACGACGGTTAAAAACTCAATCTAAACAAATCTTTAGAACCAAAGGAGAAAGCAATCTTATTCCAGATCGATGGACTTTTAACAGCAAAAATCATCCATGGCCTATATTTCCATGCTCGAGCATTAGTTTGGTGCTCAAATCAACTTTGTCCGGAATTTATAGTCCGAACTATAAGTCTGGAATTTATAGTCCGAGAATTAGTTGATAATGATTGTTTGCAATATCGGATACATTTATATATACTTAGCAAAAAGAAACGAATAACTTAGTTCTTTAAAGGTGATAAAAACCCAATTTCATTTTCACATATTTTGCTTTTTTTGGGGACATTATTCATTAAATATCCCTTCCGTAAAATGAAAAATATTTTGAAAACACAAAAGTTGCGAAAATCAGCAAATTTTGTAACCGGTATTGAAAATCTCAAATACAAGTTAGCATGAGTTATCGTTCGTTAAACCGGAAGAGCTGTGACGTCATTTGCGACGACCGTCTGTCACAACAACTACTGAACTAGTTGGTACCGGGACTATGGATTCCGTGGATTTTAGTGACAACGAGGATATTCCAGAAGTTTCCTTAACACTGGACATTCAGCCATACATGTATGAGCCAGACTGCACCGATTTAGAGGTTATAAGTGAATCTGAATCGTCTGAGTTGGATGTTAGTGACGACGAACAGGGTCAGGAAACCGGCAGTATGACTTGCGTCAATGCAGATCTTACACCAGAATGGTTCGTTTAAGCTCGATTTTTCAATCCTTGGTACAAAATGCATTTAGATATGTAAAGTATTTGACGCATGCCTACCTCAAGTATCCGCCTTTTCCGCACGACATTGCTCCTTACTCTTTTCCTGTTCGGTGTTTCGTAGAGTGCGTCCGTGTATATTCGTACACTTTTGGACAAGATCGCTAATCACATCGCTTCTATGCACCTTTCCGTGAGAACCAAAGGACTCCTAAAGAGCCCTAATGTTCGGGTTAATTTTTAATCTCTGGCTTCATTCATCAGTTTATACTATATGTATGTTGAATAAAAGTTGGAGTACAGAACCGTGCAAGTTCGTACACGTTTTCCGGAAAGTTCGTACACCACATTAAATCATCGTTATTTATGTTACATCAGACGATATAAACTCGTTATATTGACGTAATAAATGTATATTTTGAGAGTTAACGATAATTGATAAAATCAGAGTGATCTAGACTCGTAACTAACAATAAAAAGGTAAACTATCGATCGCCGAGTAGGCCTGATCGTTGATTTTTTTCTTCAGGATACTCGATACACGTTTGGTATCTGGCTCATTTGTTATGCCCTGATAGAAGCCACGGGGCAACGACAGGAGACGTATACAATGAAAGTAAGCCAGGAAAATTGTTGTTGTTAATTTCTCGAATAAGTGTA